GGAAGAGAGAAAGGAGATTCCTCTGGAGCTAATTCTGGGGACATTAATCTATTAAAAAGATTGATTAATTTTTGTCAGTGATGGGTTATTTAAAGAATATAATTGCTAAAAAAAATCAAATTGTTATTTATATCTTTGGTTTTAGTCATTGTTTGTGCATTATTATCTTTAATTGCACTAATACTATTTCTTCCTTTAGCTTTTTTCAATTTATTTGGAAGCATTCTAGAATTATCATATTTGTAATATCTTTGCTTAACAATTTGAGAGGAAATTTTATCTGTCTCTCAAACAATCTAACTCTCTTCTGTTTTCTTGTTGTTGTTTATAAATACTAGTTGATCTAGTTCTGTTGTGTTTTGCTAGTTAATGTCTGAATAAAGTTTACTTGCTATTTGTGATTATCTTTTTAAAATCACGCTCAACTGATTTATGCATTGTCTTAATACTGCCTTCATGTCATCTTACTTTATTCTTCATTTATATTGTATTCTTGAAAAAAAAAATCAAAGATTGAGCTAATTGCTACTTTGCTACTTTGCATTGTATACATAGGATTAAAACACCAATTAGTAAAAATTTGGGGGAGATAAGAACTATTAATAAGCAGAGTTGACTGTTCTTCAGTTAGGCTTATTACATTTATTTACAGGATTGAATCTCAAGCTAAAGATAAGGAACTTACTACATACTTAATTTTAGCAGCTAAAATAATAATTGCCAAATATTGGAAAAATCCAAATTAATCAACTGAGATATTAATAAGGCCTCTTCAATTACTACATTAAAAATAAATTACAGCACAGTTAATAAGATATCAGAGAAGGAACTGCAATTCTATCAAATTTGGATGCATTGTATCATTTATCTCAATAGCAAAAAAAAATACTAGTATTAATTTTTTAAATATGTAGTAAATATATATGCATATAATACCTGTGTTTTTACTTAAGTATTTAGTGGACTTTTAAATATTTTCTGTAACTTTTTTCTGAATCTATGAATCTATGTTATGTAGTTACTTGATCATGATATAGTAGTTATAGTTCAATTAAAAAAAAACACCTGATAAGTGTCAGATTCTATTAGGACCAGATAGGAGACCACAGGGAAATAAATCCCTAAATTGTGGAATACACCAGGAAGTCATATCTATCTCCTGCAAGAAGGCTATGGCAAACCACTTCCGTATTGTTATGTAGAAAACTATGTGGGTCATGTGTTGCCATGAAGTCACTAGGAGTCAAAGTCTACAGGAGGAAGGTTTTAGTGCTATGATGCTGGCAGTGGGAGTGGTTAAAACCTGTTTTTCAATGTACTCTCCCCTTTGATCTCCACATAAGGGAATTTTCCGGGCAGGAAGACGTAGGGTTTATTTGTTTATTATTTTAAATGCTTTTTTATGTGCTCTATACTGTTAAGCAAATAGCATACATGATATTTTATTATTATTTTTAAAATAGCAGCATGGTCTCATATTTTCCTTATAACTATAGTAATATACAATATCTCTTAGCTTATTTTTTTTATTTTTAAACACAAATAAACATGCCTAATACTACAAGTTCTGTCTACTTTTACCATATATTCATCATGCTCTGAAATGCACAAATATTTTATAAACCTGGTAGACAATGTCTTCTAATCAGTAGCTGCATACAGAACAGCCTGCTCAGGTAGAAAACTACAAAGGGATTTTAGTGCCTAAAATATTAAGGGGGGCCCAGGTCCCCTTTGTACTGAACCATGGTGCTGAATTTGGATGAAAGAGCCATACTTTTGCTATATGTTTCTAAGTACTACATACAGCTAAAGTCCTAAGACATCCAAGGTAGCATGGGGGACATTTTTCACTTCAGGATTACATTCCCTAAGTCCCCCTTTTTTAAAGTTTCACAGCTTTTAAGACTGTGTGGATTTCAGCTCCCAGAATTCTCCAGCTGGCACGTTGGCTGTGGAATTCTCAATTAAATCCACACATCTTAAAAGTTGCCAAGGTTGCGAGACTCTTTCCTAAGGGAAGACTGGCAAGCAGCCACTGATGTTGGGAATGTCAGAAACAAGACGGAGCAACAACAACAACAACAAAATAAATAGATGAGGGCATTCAAATGTGTCTCTCAAGACACTTCCTTGTGAGAAAGTTACTAATTTCTCAACAGTTCCATACTTCTGGGATTTTAGGATGTCAGCAGCATTTGAGATCTGGGTTGATTTATTTTTGGCTCAGGTGTAGTATACTAAATGTTAAGTAAAACTCTTCCTTTCCTTCCTTGCTAAAGTGCTGTGGACATCATTGAGTCTGTTTTCCCATTTGTATAAACTTTTGTCTCCTTAGTCTAATGGCTAAGACACCAGGCTAGAAATCAAGAAACCGTGAGTTCAAGTCCCGCCTTAGCCATGAAAGCCAGTTGAGTGACCTTAGGCCAGTCACTCTCTCTTAGCCCAATTCACTTCACAGGATTGTTGTTGTGGGGAAGAAAGATATGTTGCGTATGTTCGCTGCCTTGAATTATTTTTAAAAATAATAAATGTGGGACATAAGTAATCAAATAAATAATGATTTCTGTGTGCCAGGTTTTCAAGTGGAAAGGTGACTGGGTAGATTGTCACCTCTGTCTCATAAGAACTGCTATGACGATGGAATTGGGGGAAGTGGATTATACAACATGTAATTACAGAATAACTTCATGGAAACCTGCATGGGTTTGTCCCAGGTTTGCTGACTATGATTAAGTGGGAGATATTGGGAAATACCTGTCTTTTGAAAACTAGAATGGATAGTGGATGTACACAGAAATCATTACCCAAGGAAAGCTAGGTCTCGTGCATAGAGATAACTTTATTAGCAGATTCCAATCTTCTAAGATGATGTTTCTCAACCTCAGCAATTTTAAATGTGTGGACTTCAACTTTGAATGATCTACAATCCCCATTATCCCCAACCAACATATTTTGGCTAACATGAAATCTATTTGTTGCAGCCCATTTGTATTACGTAAACAATCTAGTTACAGTTGCATATGCTTTTCTGAAATGAGGAATAACGCCCAGAAATTTTGCTCCCTAAGTATGTCTCTGAGAACCCAAGAAATCATAATCTCTCAATTGCAAATGCAGTTAAGTTTCTTAAATTTCACTGAAATAAGTAGACTATAAATTAATTACAGTTAACCTAACTTCAATAGGGTGCATCTATATTCCCATTTAATCACAGTATAAACATGCCTTGAATTTTTTTTGCTGTCTCTTGCAGAAAAAATAGACATCTATAACAGTTATTTCAAAAATCAGTTGCTACTTTAAAAATGAATAATGCTTTAATATGACATATCACAGCTCCCAAATGAATATATTTATTAACAATTTGTCAACTGAAAAATAATTTCTCCTTCAACAATCCAGTTGCTATCCACTTATTATTTTATTTATTTATGTATTTAAGATTTATTAGCTGCTCATCTTATAACCAGCTCTGGGCACCTTCTGATCAAAATCTGAAACAACACACAAAACCATTTTAAATTTATTAAGCTAAACACATTAAAAACATTAAAAACAACAAAAACCTTGCACCAAATCAAACTTCTGATGTTATTTAACTGTGACTTTTATACGCAGGTCCAAACCAGAATGTCCTGTGATGCTTTTAGAAAACAATCCGCTTTGAACTCTAGTACACCTTTAGGAGAACAAAACTCCACATTGTGCAGCAGCTTTATATTGTTCAGACTGAGCACCCAGAAGGCATAATGAAGACTGCCCATGATTAATTTTAAAGCTCCAGTCTTATGAAAGTAACTACAGGTAGCCCTAGACTTATAACCAATCATTTAATCATTTAATGACTGTTCAAAGTTACAACACCACTGAAAAAAGTGATTTAGGACTGGTTTTCAGACTTTTGGACCATCCCCATGTGCACGGGCGCTTGGCAACTGGTATGTTTTTATGATATTTGCTGTATTCCGGGGTCATGTGATCACCATTTGTAAGCTTCCCAGCTGGCTTCTGACAAGCAAACTCAATGGGGGGAACTCAGATTTGTCAATGACCGAACGATTCACTTAACAACTGCAGCGATTCATTTAACTGTGGCAAGAAAGATCATAAATTGGGACGAAACTTCACTTAGCAACCGTCTTACTTAGCAACATAACTTTGGGGCTCAATTACGGTCGTAAGTCAAGGACTATCCTTCCTGCATCCACCTTTTCTTTCTTGACGATCTAAAATTTTATAGAATCATTCTGTATTAATAGCGCCACTAGATAATGAACGTTACGCTTAGTCTTAAGGATCCAATGCTCCTGAAGGCAGGAATGTTACTTGGTGATATAATAATTATAAAATAGAATAAATTAGAGGAAGGGAGAGGGGTGGAAGATAAAGAACGTGGACGTTATTTATTGGAGGTATATAGCCTCCCATCTCCCTTACATGACTCCACGCGGCGTGCAATAAAAATAGATAAAATATTAGGTAGCAAGCTGGTTTACCATCGCTGGCTGATCCTTCGCTAATGTCAGAGGATCTTCTAGCCTCAGCATTATAGTGAATTAGAGAGATTCCGGAGTTTGGCTTCCTGCGATTTCAACCCGCAGAGGGAAGCCGAGAGGCTTAACAGAGCTCCTGCCTTGTGTTCGAGGTACGCGCTTGTTGTACACGCTGCGCCCTCTCAAAACCGCGGAGGGGGTCAGGCAGCGGAGGGGCGAGGTCGCGAGCGCGCTCGCATCCGTCGCTTTCCTTCCCGAGGGAGGGAGGGAGGAGGGCTTCTGTGGATTGGCACTCGAAGTGACTTCGCTCTTTCAGGCGGCTCGATGACGCGAGCGCTTCGGCGCTGGGAGTGTCTGCTGGTGACGTCTTCTGCGAAAGGCGGGTCACGTGACAGAGCTCCATTCATTTACAAAAAAAAAAAAAAAAAAAAGAGGAAAGAAAGAGAGAAGCGCCTCACCCACTCTATAAAAGCCACGCCGATGGCTGAGCGACGCAAACAGCAAGCCAGCTTCCTCGGAACAGCAACCCTTCAGGCCAGCCAAACGCGCCAACCAGCTACTAGCGCGCGAATCAGACCAGCAGCGAAGACCGGATAAAAAGGCTTCACCCCTCCCGGCTCAGATCCAGCTCATTGGGGTGGGAGGGGAAAATACAGAAATTACCCGAACGGAATAAATCATCCGAGGCTGCTTTGACCAAGAAACCCAGCCGAGCCGGAGGAGTGTTTTAAAAAAGGCGCCGAGGAAGGAGACCGAAAGGACAAAAGGGGGTCTTTTATTTGCCCTTCCGCGCTGTCCGCCCTGACTCGAGCGATGGTCAACATGCAAGTGTGCGCCCTGGATTGCGAGACGCTGCGCGACCTGCTCCAAGACCGCGGCTTACAATGCCTGGTGCTGGACTGCCGATCCTTTTTCGCCTTCAACTCCTCGCACGTCCGAGGCTCTTGCAACGTCCGCCTCAGCACCATCGTGCGGCGGAGGGCCAAGGGCGCCGTGGGCTTGGAGCACATTCTCCCCAACGAGGAAGCCCGCGCCCGCCTGCACAAGCGCCTCTACAACGCCGTGGTGCTGCTGGACGAGCGCAGCGCCGATCTCCAGGCGCCCAAGCGGGACAGCACCCTCCAGCTGGCTCTTAACACCCTCTGCAGGGAAGCCCGGGACGCCCGCATCTGCTTCCTCAAGGGTGAGTTTTCGCTCCGGAGTCAGATCGCTTTCTCTCTGGGTTCTTCCCCCGGACCCGACCCTCGGGTAGGGTTGCCAGGTCTGTTTCCAAAAAATAGCGGACAAGCGGAGGGGGGGGTTTAAGTAGTAAAAAAAGTAGACTGTACAGCTTTAGATTACGTACCATTTCATCATAAAGCTTTTGAATAAAAAAAATGTCCACTATTTTGTGAAAAAAAATAGTGAACATAATGTGAAAAAAGTGGACTGTCCACTCAAATAGTGGACACCTGGCAACCCTACCCTCGGGTTTACAGAGGGGGAAACTAACCCGAATGGAATTTGGAGTTTAAAGGAAAGCCATAGTTTTCGGAAGAACGGCTGAGAAGCTGTGACTTAACAGCGGCTCCCTCTTTGGACGCCCGGCTCCGGAGGGACTACTTGGGTCACTGCCACCACATTCCCGTCTTCTGAAGCCTGCCCCAGGAACCGGCTTTGTTTCTCCAAATATATTTATTAACAGCCCGGTTTTCTCTTTTTATTTTCTTCCAGGAGGTTACGAAGTCTTCTCTTCCACCTTCCCTGAGCTTTGCACCAAGCCCTCGGCCCCTAAAGGCCTCACTTTGCCGCTCAGCACCACCGTTGCCCCTGGCAGTGCCGATTCCGGCTGCAGCTCCTGTGGAACTCCTCTCTATGATCAGGTCAGTTGACATCCTTCAAAGGAGGCTAGGTGGCCATAGAGGTGTGGGTGTGGGTGTGTTGGTGGTGGTGGGTGGTGTAGTTACATTGGCCCATGTAAAAGTTATTTCAATTTTGTATTTGACAAGGGCGCGTAAAACAAGGGCATCGTAATGATGAGAACAATCATTCTGGAATAGTGGCAATTTTTAACTGGGGCTTAACAGATCCTGTTCTTCTCTCTTTCAGGGTGGTCCAGTGGAAATCCTACCTTTCCTGTATTTAGGCAGCGCCTATCATGCTTCCAGAAAAGACATGTTGGATACTTTGGGGATCACCGCCTTGATCAATGTCTCTGCAAACTGCCCTAACCATTTTGAAGGGCACTATCAGTACAAAAGCATCCCTGTGGAAGACAACCACAAAGCTGACATCAGTTGCTGGTTTAATGAAGCTATTGACTTCATAGGTAAATGCTTTTTCTTTCTGCAGCTGTCCCATTTGGATTCCAAATTTATAATGTCCCGCGTGCCAGTTTTTTAGGAGCCTTCTTTGGTAGATAGCTAGGGAGGATTAAGACAGCAACAATTAAAATATATCTGTACTTGTGCTGATGCTTTGAGTTTCTTTGGACAATAGTTTTGTACATTACAAAGAACATTAAGAGCTTCATGTGTGACGTCACTGAATTCAGTGATGAGGGTGTTGTAAAGAGTCGCTAGTAATCTGATCCCTTCTCACGCTGACAGCATTTTCAAGGTAGCCTTTTCAGCAAAAATTAAGTGGCCAATTAGAATAAATTACTTGCATGTTCAGACAGTGCATCCCCAACCTATCATTGCTGTCTCCCTTCCCAGCTGAATATTAAGGTGCTAGGAAAGATTCTCCCTTCAGGCCAAAGCATCTCGGAAAAAGATGTACTAAGCTTTATGTTTTCTTCATTGTTTCAGACTCCATCAAAAACAATGGCGGACGAGTGTTTGTCCACTGCCAAGCCGGAATCTCCCGCTCCGCAACCATTTGTCTTGCTTATCTTATGAGGACCAACCAAGTCAAGCTGGATGAAGCCTTTGAGTTTGTGAAACAGAGAAGAAGCATCATCTCCCCTAACTTTAGCTTCATGGGCCAGCTGTTGCAGTTTGAGTCCCAGGTCCTTGCTCCAAATTGCTCAGCAGAGGCTGGAAGCCCAGCTATGTCTGCACTGGACAGAGGAGCATCCACTACAACTGTCTTCAATTTCCCTGTTTCCATCCCTGTTCATCCTGCTTCCAATGCACTTAACTATCTTCAGAGCCCCATCACCACATCTCCAAGCTGTTGAAAGGCAGGTGCCAACTGACTCTCTACAAAGACTTGACATCTTGTTACCTGAAAAGTGCAATAACTTTAGGAGGAGATCTATTAGTTTATATGGGTCTCCTTTTGTTATATCTACAAAGCAATACAGAATCACCAGCAGATCAACATTTCTGACTCCAGAAAGCGAGGTTCTTTCTGATAGATGATCTTGACAGAGAGGCATTTTTGACCAATGTTTAGATGCCCACAAAGGAGACAAAGCACAAAGGACTTTGCTTTCTACTCCTGAAAAATTCCCATTACTGTCTTTTTCCCCATTGCTGTTTCAGTAGCAAATCCAACAGAATTCTCATTCTCTGGGTATGCTTGTACAAGAAGATCTTTGTATTTATTTATTTTTTATCGTGTAATTGCAATGACTGTTTGTCTTCAAGTCTGAATTTTCATTTTCTTGTCTTTTTTTTTTAAAAAAAGAAAGAAACAAAATACCTCAGGTGGGTTTTTTTGGTACTGTAATCCTACAAAAACATCTTAAAACTGTTTCCAAAGCACTGACATGGAAAGCACAAAGAAGTGTTGTGAGGGTTTTTTGGTTGCTAGTGGTTGTATGCTTGCTGAATTTATTTATGATGTGAAATAATATATTTTCTTCTTATAAAAGAAGACAGGTTTTGTAATAATTATGCCTTTTATACAAACCAAATAAATTATGACATTTCTATTAAAAAAAATCCTTTAAACGTTCCCCCCCCCTTTCTTTCTTAGTAATGGCAAGATCAGAAAGCAGACATTTCTGGCTTGCTAGCTGATGGACTCTTGTCAAGTTGATCCTTCCCACAATCATGACAGAACCCTGGAAGTCTATGTTGTCCCTAAAAACACTCCTGCCTTCCCGTTCAGAAAAGATGAGAAATGGGATCTTGTACTCAGCAAAGGAAAGAAAAACACATAATTAGTTCTTCTAAGCAGTGGATGTCAGCCAGATGATTAGTGTTGTCAGATCTGACTGTGTGGATCATCCAGATGAGAAGGAGGAAAAGAGATCCAGTGCCACTATTAAGATGACCTACATTATTAGCATGGCCAACATTAATCATATGAAAATATCTATGACTATTTGATGAAAAGCATTCCATTGCTTCGACTGCAGCTCCTATCATCTTTCAGATACGGTATCTAAGTAAGGATGGGAGGTAGAGTTCAGCAGTAGGTGTATATCCCTAGTTTAATGGTTACCATTTCTAATAAACTCTTGCTTACTACCAGAGACAAATCATTAAGGAAGTTCCAAAATGCAGCACACAATTTCCATTAAAATCCTTTTAAAGACTGGGCCATATTATAATAACTTCCTTCCCCCCACATCTTTTTTTTCCAGAAGTTACAGTTCTCTGAAAAAGAAAAAAAAAAGAGGTAAAGGCCTGTCTGAGTATTGGGCCATGGAAATAGACATGGGCAAAACAATTCATTAAATTTGAATCTGTATTAAATCTGTATTTTTACAGATCATGCTTGAAGCAACTCATTTTTATTGTGAAGATTTTTTTTTCTCCGTAAGAATTCGGAATCATTTCCAGCTGCTATTCACCTCAAAATGTGCTGCTGTTGCTGACTGAGTGATGCTTTCTATGATTCTTCTGTGGATATGCCTCAGGGAGAGAAGAACGCCTCAGGGTTTCCTATGAGTGGAAGATGATTTGGTTGACCAATTTCTTCTTAATCTCACTCAGACATTGGAAGTAAGTTGGTTATTGTTTTCATTTTATAAATGAGCTGGAAAGAGACTTTAACATTGCATGAATGATCTCAGAGAGGTTTTGTGGACCAGCATTAACATTTCTTCTCTGCAATATTTTATTCACATGGCATGTTAAGCCATGGTTTATTTAGCAATGGTTTATTTCTCAACTTCAGAGGTCTAGGCTCCCACATGATGCTAAGTCACAAATCGTGATTTAAAACCATACTGAATGGGTTTACAGAAGACTAAATCATATAACATTTTGTGATTTTCTTGTGATTTAGCAAGTTGTATGAACCCATCACAAACTGAAGCTACTGAACCACATATGCAAAACCTGGTTAATTCCAGTGGGCAGTGCATTTACATAATTATATTTTTTACAGAAAAAGTATAAGATGATTAACTTATTTTTGGTTTTGTATTTTGTGAGCCCACCTATTCTGATTGTTTCAGCAAGCAATTATTAAAATACACCCCAATTTAGGATGATGTATGAATCCAGTACTGGCAGCTAATCGGTAGGAATTTCACAACTACCTGCCTTTTCTTCTTTAATGAATTCTATTCAGTAAAAAAAGAATATGAAAAATACAGGAAATATTGGAGGGTTGCAAATGGAAGATGCTAATAGAGTCCTTTGAAACTTTCTTTGAACAAGGCAGGGTGACTGAAGAGTTCAGACGTGGTCTGTAAGGACCCTCCATTGCTGGACTAGATGACAGGATCTCAGAGTTACTTGATTTGTTATAAAATCATGGCCTGATATCTAAGAAGAAATATGAACTGTACTTTTACATTGGGGGGGGGAAGGTATCACAATTGCCATCATATTCTTGTGTTCATCTGATTTTTCCTTTAGAAAGCTTTGTCTGTAAATATCTTGAACCATATAGAGTGAAAAAGTTAACATTAGGTGTTATTTCTTCACTCAACATACTGTACATTTAAAGCCATACAAAGAAATGTTAATAAAAATAAACAAAAGTCTGTGACATTATAGATTCGGGAATTTCAGAATTCCAAATTCCCACACAGCCATAAATTGAATGAATTTGATCTAAATCTCTATCAGTGACATTCTCTGATTGTAAAAATAAATCACATTGAAAGATAACATCAGATATTCTATCCAGAATAAATACACTGAGCCTTAAACTAACTAATATTTTAGTTTAGTGCATTGTGTGAAGCTAGTCCACCTGGTTAGTTGACAGTTCAGTGTCACGTATCAGAAAATTTTGTTAATTGAGAAAAATATGATCAAGGATGTCTTCTGATCGTAATTGTAAAGAAGGTAGATAACCATAATTACTTTCATTCACTGTGTTAACATTCCTATAACTGTGATATAGGCTGTGGGTGATTTAGTTATGTTTAACTGACAAAGTCATTATACTATATACAGTACATTACACTAAAATACAAGTATGGTTTAGGACTAGGTTTACACAATACATTAAACCAAAACCAACCCCACAATAATGCTTAGCACAATATGTGAATTCAGAGTATTGGAAGATGCCTTGATCATAGTTCGGAACGCATACAATTCAACTAGATTGGGTTCTGTGGTCTTTCCTTAGCAAAGGCCTGACCCCTGGGCATTAAGGTCAGGACCTTCTTAGATGTGGAACCACACTGAGAGAATTTCGTCTCTTGGAAGCCCTCTGTCTTCCTTTGTTGTTGAAAACATTTTCCAGCCAGAAGACTTTATTGTTGCTCTTACCTTTCTGTTTTGTTACTATATGCATCAAGTCTTCTTCTTAATGCAAGCTGCTTTGAAATATTAGTTCGCAAAGTGGAGTTTAAGCGAATAAGTTTTAAAAAGAGCAGGAATGAGTTCTATCCTTCGTATTGCTCCTTTCATCACTCCACTCCCTCATGTTTCTTATGTAACAGCGTCTTCTGTTTTGGTATGGGGCCGGGCAAAGTGATTCTACCTTTAAACTGAGCGCAGTCAATGGAAAAATACATCTTGGCATCCACCACGATTTGTCTGATTAAAGAAAGCTCATACAGATCTGTTTAATGGAATTTCCAAAGAGATTTCATTCAGCAAAGGGTAGGAAAAAGAATTGTTTTATCAATTCTTTCGCAGAACAATTCATTTCTTACTTGGCAGTCAAAGCAAGTTTTCGATCTAAGCCAGTACTGGATGATGGGCACACAGAAGTATAGTTTGGGACATAGTGTAATAGTCCTGACTGAACCCATTCCATCTGGTTGCAAATTGTGTTCTGGAAGCATAAGGCAAAACAGTTATTTTCAAAAAGATTTTGCAGCTATTTGTGTTTGGTGATTTATCACAGATAAGGAAGCCAAGGTTATTTTCAGCAGCTTTTTTTTTTTTTTTCCTGGCTCTCAGTGCCCCTAACCTTTCAGGAAGAAACGGTACACATACAGGCTTACACGCAATTGTAAGTGCTCGCTCTGCTTCTTATATTAGAACACTCTTGATTATTAAAATGTATTGCATCATCTAGCATTTATGTAAAGCCTTTTTATGTTAAATCTTTCGGATTGTGATCCAACAGCTTTTTTTTATAATAGTTCTTTATTTATTATTTCCCCAATTTGTCCATCAGCCAATGTGTGTATAACTGTAATTATACAGTTGCCCATATCCCCATGGAAACAACTAGGAGTTTCCCCCTTTGTGCGGAAGGCAATAACATCATTTCCTGTTGCTGATAAAACAGTTTGTCATGAAAGGGTGAGAAAGGTTCAATTGGTACTGGCAGGAACTTGCTTCAGGATGAGCTGGTTGCCACGCAGTGCTACAAACACATATAAGCTTAGCAATAAACATTGTGGTTTTTTTTTTAACATATGGGAGGGATTAGGAGGGGGGAAAATACCATTTGAATGTATATGAGCAGGCAAATTTTTAACACACAGTAAGAAGTTCTTGAAAACAAGCACACTGGAATCCTTAGCCAGGAATCTTAGTATGCAAATGTACATCTAATATATGAGTCCCGCTGTGTGCATTTACTCACATATATGCCCATGCATAATGATGTGGGGAGAAGGAAGAGCATTTGATAAGTATTCACAATATTGCAATGCCTTTCTTTAACTTTCTGCATTGTGACATTATGTATATATTAGTTGTTGATGCCCATGTGTGAAGTATCTAAATTTGCCCACAAGTAATTGGTTGAAACAAAATTACATCCCAACCATTAAGTACACAAATACAAATCAATGAATGACACCTCTTCACAAGCTTGAGCCATTTATTTGGTACCCCCACCCCCATCATTAAACTTAGCTCTTGCTAAGGAAATCATAATAGAATAAACCAAGCTACTTTTTCTCCCATTAGTGTATTAATGATTTTGAACATTGGTGCTGGAGAGGAGTCCTGAGAATAGCACAGGTACCCGTGAAAATAAACAAATGGACCTTAGAACAAATTAATCCAGAATTCTCACTTGAGGCACAAATGTTCAGATTCAAATAATCATATTTTGGATACCTCATGCAAAACCCCATCTCTCTTGAGAAGTCTGTAATTCTGGGAAAGGTGGAAAGGAAAAGAAGAAGAGTACAATTAACAGCAAGTTGGATGAACCTTACTACAAAGGCAATGGGTATTCTATTGCCTTTGGAAGGACCAGGTTAGGAACAGAATATCTTAGAGAAAATCTATCTACTGTACATGATCACTAAGAATTAACACAAGCAGCCTACTCCTCCCTTATTTCATTATAGCAGGGTTATCAGGACAATGTTATTCAGTGGCACAGGGTGCAGTATTATTAGTAAACAGTAGGATTACCAGGACAAGGTTATTCAGTGGCACAGGGTGCAGTATTATTAGTAAACAGAGAATGCTCAGTTATATATTTATTTTCCTGGCTGGTTAGGCAGTACCATTCAGGGACTTACCCTACATCTGAAGGCTGTGAGAAACAGACTGGGGAGGAACCAGCTCTGACTTACCTTAGCCAGACAGAGTGGATTTGGGATTTTGATCCCCCTTCCCTCATATCTGGTGTCATTGTTAACTCTCAGTGGAATAACACTCCCCTGGATTTGTGGCTTCATCTGAAGAAGCAGGTGGCAGTAAAGACTAGGGGAGCTTTGCACTGATTCATCTTACATGCCAATTGTGGCCATTCCTTGAACAGGAGAACTTGTTCACAGTTACTCATGCCCTGATGCTGGGTGGTTTACTGCACTATGCTGTCCATGGGGCTGTCCTTGGTTATTTTATATAAGGTGGGCAGCCCTATAAGTCTTATAAAGAAATAAACTGAGATGACAGCTAAATGGTAGCAGATAAAGATTTCTGTATCCCCTTGCTGCCATCTAGTTATCAAATGGATTTGGCAGCCTAGATCTACGTAATAGCTTTACATTGCAAATCACTAATAATAAAATAGCTTGCATTAGATTTGTTTAAGATTAAAAAAGATTTTAAACACATGTAATGGGTTTGATGTAGTTGGAGAAAAGGATATAGAGCATGACACATTTATTTCTTCCATGAATATCTTGCTTCTTCTCTATGAAAGTTAAAGTAATGAAAAGAAGGACTAGGGGTGACATGATAGTGTTCCAATATCTCAGGGGCTGCCACAAAGAAGAGGGAGTCAAGCTATTCTCCAAAGCACTTTAAGGCAGGACAAGAAG